AATGTTCTTTAGATCAAACCTATAGTCTAAATATACGTGTACATATATAGCGCGAATTAAAAAAAATGCATTTTACTCTTGTATGGAATGTGAGACCCCATTGAAAATAACATTTATTACATACCGGGATGAGGCTTAAGTTTTTTTTATTTCTTCTTCTCTACCTCTTACGGTTCATAAGATAGAGCGCTGGAAGTAAGACGTAGAGAAAACCCATTTTTTCCCGTAACACAATTATGAAAATGTACCTATATATCATATTGCGTTTAGATCTTCTGTTTCTCCCACTACAACAACAATTTCAAAAAAACTAAAAATAAAAAAATAAGATTTACCGACTGATATATTTGGAGTCGATACCACACCACGTGTTTAGCAGGGAGGTCATGATGGTATCGACTTTAAATATGTATATTAGTACCCCTAGCACGAACCAATATCGAATTCGTAACGTTTGTTAGTCCTAAATGTCATTGTCAAAAGTGTACTGATTTTTAGTTCTCGTTTCCATACAAAATTTGACATTGACATTTCGGTTTGCAAACTATTCGAATTCGATAATGGTTCGTGCTAGGGGTACAGTTGGTAAATCAGATTTTTTTCATTTTTAAGTATTTTTGAACACTGCATCAAGCCTTGTCACTACCGCGTGGTCTCATGGCGTCGACATTTTGTTGTAGACATTGAAGCCAAGTAATTGTAGTTTAATTCATATAGAATGATTCATCACATTGAAGTATGAAGACTAATAGTTAACCACTACGCCTACGAACCCCTAAAACAATTAGAGATTCCTAACTAACCGGAAATGAAAATTATACTCACAGATATGAGATATTCTACTTAATTATCCTTAAAATAACTGAGACATGATCTTCTTTTGGTGTTCAGTTAGCCACCTTTTCGTATTCTTTTCGTCCCTTATTTTAGCGAACTTAAAATTTGATGTTCACCCTCGTTGCCTATTCTAGAAAAGCTCCCCATATCTACGATAATCTAAAAGCCCCCTGACGGCAATGTCACCATCATTATGTTTGAAAGTAATAAAAAAGCACGCCATATTGAGCCGTAATTTTTTTCATTATGTACTAGTTCTCACGAGTTTCGATAGATGGCGCTTAATACAAAATATTATATTACAGACTGAAGATGTAACCAGGACCAACGGTTATACTTGCACGAAGCACGGGGAGCTCGATAATAATACATTTTTAGTCACCCATTTTATAACCGGCCATTGCGTTGAACGTTGCTATTTATTGGAGTCCAAAAATGTCTTAGGAACCTATATGCATAGGTAGGTGCCGAAAACCCACAATAAAAGCTTTTTTTATTCTTATTTTGTTGCTAATAAAAGTCAATCATAGTCGTTCTGACGATCAGCGGCGTACTAAACTGGGATTCGGCCAGAACAAAATGTCTGCTAGGTGAGTTGTGCGGGGTGCTACCGGTGAGGTGATCATCAGTTTTTGGAAAGAAAAAACATGTAAGAACGTAGAATATATACAGGAGAAAATCATGGTAGAATCGTATTTATGACATTTAATCAATTAATATCGTTGCATTCAATACTGTATCCAAACAATAAACATTGCAAAGGCTGTATAGTTGTGTATGCATTTGGCTTACTGTACTGAATTTTTTTTTTAAAAACTAGCAAATACAGTGTTGCCATTCGTGAATATTTCTACAGCTTTATGCGGATATAGTGGTGTCGAACTTAAATATGACAACGGTGTCAATTCTGGCGTGATTCTCTAAACTGAAAACTAAATTTAAGGTCATCAACAGCCTATCTTAGTCCACTGCTGGACATAGGCCTCTCCAAATGCACGCCACTTAGATCGATCTTGGGCTACTCGCATCCAGCTCCTGCCAGCCACCTTGCGCAGATCGTCACTCCATCGCGCCTGAGGACGTCCTACACTACGTTTGCCTAGACGCGGTTTCCACTCCAGAACTCGTCTACCCCAACGGTTATCGGTTCTTCGACAAATATGGCCAGCCCACTGCCACTTCAACTTGCTAATCCGGTGGGCTATGTCGATAACTCTGGTTCTCTGTCGGATTACCTCATTTCTGATGCGATCCTTCAGAGAAACGCCGAGCATAGCCCTTTCCATAGCGCGTTGAGCGACTTTGAACCTGTGGACCAGCCGTACCGTCAGTGTCCACGTCTCGGCTCCGTATGTCATCACAGGTAGGACGCACTGATTGAAGACTTTCGTCTTCAGACACTGTGGGATCGACGATGTCAGGACTTGACGTAACTTCCCAAACGCTGCCCAACCTAGCTGAATTCTTCTATTCACCTCGTCCTCAAAGTTGTTTCTACCTAACTGCAATGTCTGCCCGAGGTACACATATTTTTGAACAACTTCGAGAACGGCACCGTGTATTGCAATCGGTTCCGGTAGAACATGTTCATTGAACATGACCTTGGTTTTATCCAAGTTCATCCGTAGGCCGATGCGTATATAAGAGTCAGCCAGGTCATTCAGCATCTGTTGTAGGTCCTGCAGGGTTTCTGCCATGATGACGATGTCGTCTGCAAATCGCAAGTGAGAGATGCGTTCGCCATTTATGTTGATGCCACGTCCTTTCCAGTTCAGCGTCTTGAACATATCCTCCATTGCATTAGTGAACAATTTCGGGGAAATAACGTCCCCTTGTCTCACTCCACGATGCAATGGTATGGGACTTGTTTGCTGATTCTGTACTTGGACAGACATGGTGGCGGCTTCGTACAGACATCTAATCACTTGGATGTATCGCCAGTCGACTTGGCAACGCTGCAGGGACTCCAGAACAGACCAGATTTCAATCGAGTCAAAGGCCTTCTCATAGTCCACAAATGCTAGGCACAGGGGCTGATTGTACTCTTCAGTCTTCTGTATAATCTGCCGCACTGTGTGTATGTGGTCTATGGTGCCGTATCCGCTCCGAAACCCAGCCTGTTCCGGTGGTTGGAAGTCATCAAGTCTTCGCGCAAGACGGTTCGCGATCACTCTTGAGAACAGCTTATAGACGTGGCTTAGAAGGGATATGGGTCGATAGTTCTTAAGTTGGGTCTTGTCCCCCTTTTTAAAGAACAAGACAACCACACTCCTACTCCACGCCTCCGGAGTTCTCCCTTCGAACAGGACAGTGTTGAAAAGCTTTTGGAGCTCCCTCAGTACGGGTTTACCTCCAGCCTTTAAGAGTTCTGTTGAAACACCATCCTCTCCAGGGGCTTTTCCATTTTTAAGCTGTCCAAGAGCAATTTCGATTTCGCCAATACTGACTTCTGGCAGGTCTTCGGTGAAGTGGCGTGTTAATGTGGCTCTAGAATCCTCATTTCCGGGATCGGGTCGAGATGCATGTGATGCGTACAACTGGCTGTAGAAGTCTTCCACTTCCGAAAGGACTGCCGGCTTTGAAGCAACCACTTCCCCACTTGCTGTGGTCAACTTCGTCAGATGGCTTCTTCCAAGAGATTGTACGAACACTTTGGATCCTCGATTCTGCTCGATCGCTCTCTCGATCGAGAGAGTATTGGAGCACCGGAGGTCGCGTCGTACGTGCTTACTGATCTCTTGGTTTAGAGTCCGCTTTGCCGACGAAGTGACGGGTGGATTTTCACGTCGTTCCTTCATTAGCCCTAAAGTCTCTTCCGAAAGCTTTGACTTCCTGCCCTTACGCTGCGTTGCACATAATCTCGTACCCTCTTCCCTGAGGATCCGAACCACATTTTCGAGGTTTTGGTTTACGTCTGTTGTGGTTTCCACGGCAGCAAATCGGTTCTCCAGGTTTGACTGGAACGTTTCAGACCCTGTTATAGATTGGAGCAGAGTAGGTTGGAGCCTGGATTTCATCAAACGGACGCGCTCGGCCTTAAAGTTGATATTCAAAGAGCCCCGGACGAGTCGGTGATCACTACCGGTATTGTACCTGTTGATCACTGAGACGTCTCTGAATATGTACCTCTTGTCCGTCATGATGAAATCGATCTCATTTTTAGTCATAGTGTCGGGGCTTTGCCACGTCCACTTCCTTTGGGGTTGTTTCTTGAAGAAAGAGTTCATCAAGAAGAGCCCCTCCCGTTCGAGGAAGTTGACGAGCATTTGCCCCCTATGATTTCTGCTTCCAAATCCATGGGATCCTACTACCGATTCGCTGCAATTCTGTACTCCCACTTTAGCGTTGAAGCGAAGAAGTATAGAGAAGGACAAGGATGCACTGTTGTCAAATTTAAGTTTAGCTTTAGAGAATCATGCCAGAATCGACATCAACATCATATTAAAGTATCATTGTCACGCTCTATACAAAATGAAGGGGGAGAGATTGATGTTAAATTTAGTTTTAAGCTTAGAGACTCATGCCAGAATCGACACCTTGATAATGTGTATTTATAAGGAATACCAATTGTATGTACGTTGTAACGTTAGTGCCTAACTAAATTTTAATCATCTTTTTTTTAATCTTAGCTAGATTTATTTAAAAATAATGAATTTACCGCAATCAAGTGCTGCTACATAAAAATCGGTGTATTTAATATGCCGCAGCAATTTGGTTAGTTAATAGTCTGGTCATTAAAAGTGGACATCCAATTTAATAACTATCAAAGCAGTTTTATTGTCAATTTAATTAAAAAATGGAAAGTTTAACAGCTTGGCCTTTTTTAAAGACAGCCTGTTGAAGATGATATATTTGAATCACTTAATCACTTGACTGACTAAGATTCAGTCATGATCTTCCAGTTAATAATATGATTTAAAATATGTTAATAAGTAAACACTCCCGTTTATTGCGCAAGACGTATATTAAACTTTCGTGTTTATATCGGATTTAGCTTACAAATGTTGGCAACACTAATCATAGAAAACAAATTTTAAGCCTGCCAAAATCAACCAATGAAAATCACATTTTAAGTTATTCTAACCAATCACGTTTGCAGTTTCTTATTTTGACATCAGTGTTTTTAATCAAAGAAAACAAAAAATGCATCAACAGATGCACAAGTGAAGTGTGTGATAAAGACTGCAGTTTACTTTGTTTGCTTTGTCATTTTTTATTAGATACATGTTTTTGTGATTTAATTTGTCCTCTGGAGTGAATTATCGAGTAGAATATAAGATAAGTTAATAATACCAAAGAAATTATGTCTGCTACCTGAGAGAAGAGTGGTACGTATGTTATTCTTCAACTTAAACTTTGTTGACGGTTAAAAATGCAATGCAATTTTACGAAATATGCATTGTATATGAATTAACATAGTCTAGATCATACATTTTTCGGAGCCCTTAATTTTTTTTGAAAGCAGATATTTGCAAACCTACTAAAATATCCATAATCCTTCAATATCTATTTCTACACGCCTGAGTCATTACTGAAGCTCATTGAATTTTCTGATTTTTCAGATATTTTCATCTCCATTCTTGACTTTAAGACTAATTTCAAATATTAACATTCACTGAATGTAAATTTTTTCATTATTATTCTTGTTGACTGCAATTTATATAATGTGTTGCATAAACATTTTCAGCAAATTGTTAAAAAGACATGTTACTTAAATTTTGCCATACTACAACTTATTTGTATAACATTGATTTTAACTTATACTTACTGATATCTGTTACATTTATAGATTGGATTGTAAAACTATATTTTTGTCATAAATGGATGTATTGTAGGGTCAGTTAAAATTCATTTAATTTAGAATAATGAAAGTTGTCTTCTATATTATATAAAAACCTACGTGTGTTTTGCCCTACACAAACAACAAAAACATATCAACATTCAACAAAACCTTCCCCACGATATTTTGTTTTACTTGTCTTATATATTTATATAAGACTGTATTTACAGTAAAGATAGCAATTGTTGTAAAGCAATATGGATAGGTCTAAATAAAATTAAAAAAGTACTCAGGCTCCAGACCTACCACAATAAACTACATATACATCTGATTGGAAATCAGATTCCCTTTGGGAGCGTAGGTTCGTATCCTACCGACTGCGCCAGACGACCTCCGTGGCCGAGTGGTGTGTACGCCGGGTTTCATGGCTGTCGCCAACTCGAGAGGTCCTGGGTTCGAATCCCGGTGGGGGCAGATGTTTGTGTGATGAATACGAGCATTTGTACTCCAGTCATGGATGTTTAATATGTATTTATATAAATATACTTATATATGTACAGTATATGTATTCTATCCGTTACCCTAGCATCCCATAACACAAGCATTATAGTGCTTACTTTGGAGCTAGGCTAATTGGTGTGAGTGTCGGAAATATTTATTTATTTATTATTTATTTATTATTTATACTAATACTAAAAATTATTCATACTTTAACATATTTTTACATACTGCATTACTAAAAAGAAACTCATCTAGTTTAAGGTATTGAGTAGTTTAGGATTAAAAAGAGGGCAGGGTGGCAACTTAGCGAACCATGGCAGCACAATATTTGGGAAAGACTAATCTAAGCTATGAAAAAATATTAAATGTTTTTCTGTTGTAGAAGACCTATTTGCATAGTACTCCATATCAATTCAATTTTATAATACATAATTCTAGTTTAACAAATACAAATAAAAGCATTGTTGTGATACAAGTTTGACACAATATTACTTTTCTAACTTTAGATATATTAATTTGATGCCAGTACTTATATAAAGTAATACTTTACTTGATATTTTTTTATTTATTGTTCTAAAATTATTAAACACAAATTTATATAAAATAATTTATAAATTTGGGATTCATTGACAACCAAAACTTTTTCAGTTTTTTTTTTTTTTTAAAGCTATAATTTAATGGATCTTCTGATAATAAACCTACAGGATTGGTATGGGTAGGTATCAAAAGTTCTATTAAACTGAAAGGTTTTACACATTACCTATTAGATAATATCTAATAATGTGTTTTAAAATATGTTAATTTATGTATGTGATGTATATATTGTGACGGTGATGAACATTTCCACACAAACTGCCACTACTGGGACCATCCCATGCAGACACAGTATCATATAAATGGTACTGTGACTGCTGCTGCTGTAAAGATAATTCTTGCGGTCATTCTGACTAGTGTGACCCCAAGTAATGCCGTTTTATGAACCAATGCGTTGCCTGTCTGTGACGCTGTTAACATAATATAGATCTCTTTAAAGACATGAGTGAATAGGCAACTTCTAGACAAGCTAGGTCCATCTTTGGCCACATAATATCCTCAGTTTGAATATCAATCACGCATCTCTGAAGTCAACCGCTAAACTAGTCATATAAAAAAAATACCGAAAGACGGGTTTTCCTGACGTACTCAACTATGCGCTCGGAATGTTATTACTCAGCCTAATGAACGTGCAATAAAGAACGAAATACTTGTGAATCGCTCGCAAAACGTTTGATCTGAATAGGCACTTAGGCCGTGTACTGCTGCGGAATCACGCGTGTTCTGGAGTATGTAAAGGTCCATTCAGACTACGTTATACTGTACAAAGGCATGATTGCAATACTCGCAAACAAATCTCTTAACATTGTTGTGTCTCTTGTATATTATGCTTTATAGCTCATAGGACAATGTAAAGCGCACCATACATTTATAAGTCTGTTCCAAAGGAATTTAGACCAAAAGTTAACAAAGAGGTAGATAAGTCTGACTAAAGACAGTTTAGTGATGGGGATTCATAGAGCCTTATCAAAATCAATTAATTGATCAATTGAATGATCATATTCTTAGAAATTGTTAAAGATCTATAAGGCTTAATTTGGAGCATATTTTTTTATCATCATTTGCAAGAAAGAGCTCTGGCTGAATAAGAATATTTCGTTACTTAATAAAATTTTTTTTGAACAATTGGTTTGTGTGATTTATTGAATATCTAAGTTGGTCGGCTAATGAACTCACAGTATCATCCTGCTGAACATCCTGCGTTCACTTCAGTTACTTCGTTCAACAGTAGTCAACTCTTACGTTTATTATAAAAAGGTGAATAAATATACTTATTTATATATAAATAAAACCCCTAATTAAAAAACAAATAAATTATGCATATGTTGGATTACTAATAAAAAATGAGATGGTTTTTTAGCCCATTACCAATTATTTAATCGATTCACTATTTGATTATTAACATCAATTGAAATCATTTTGAATATACTTTTCGGTGCAACACTGTTCAACCATAGACAATTGACATCTGACAAAATAACCATACTTTTCGATTCGAGTTCTTATTTATGATTTTTCATCAATTAATAAAGAAATTAGTGCTATTAAAAGATAGTGAATTATTATATCAAACCCCTAGAAATGAAATGAATGTGTTGAGAAATGCATTTAGTGAGTCATTGCGTGGGAATTGATTGTTAAAGGTGTTTGTTTGTCTAACTTTGGTCCAAATTCGTTTGAAACACACTATACTTATTCACACCATGCATATACTACAATGTATGGGCTTGCTATACTGTCTAGCAAAATAGTATAGCACCTTCTGTCATAAAAGTGTGCGTGCGCTATTTCTTGCGTTTTGGTGCCACAGTATAAAAAGCAAGAAATAAAGGAAACTAGCTGTTTGTCTAGCGCCGTGCTGTGTGAGCCCGGCCTTATTTAGGCGCTGTCCCACGATCTGTGTTGTCGTGGGCGCGGCCGCGCCTCGCAGGGTTGCCAAGCGTATTTACTGCTAAATCTCGTACGTTAGAGTTCTCATCTTAGATTAATACAAAAAGGGAAGATACACTCGCGGCTCAATAGTGATCCGTCTAAATTGTGGTGCACGACCACAATTCGCAAACACGCTGCATGTGCACTCCATATAACAATATTGCGTATATTCTAGGTTAGAAAGATAAAACAATGCCTTCGATGCTTTTATAAAGAACACAAATAGTTCAAAATCCAATAAAAAATGCCTCGGCAGCACTTCTGATTCGTAAAACTGTAAAATCATTTTCTTTAGATTTAAACATCAAGCAGTTACATGCTTTAAAAATATAAAAATTATAACTGTAAAATATTTTTTTCTCAAAAATCGCGGTTTGACGTGAATGTTATTTACGCATTTATAAGTCCATGTATTTATGTAATCGCCATTTTATTATCAAGAAAAGGACAACTATGCAGCTCAGCCGCGCGCACTTGCCGTTTCGCTTGCTCTGCGTTAAAGCGTAGATACAGTTCTTTCTCGCTCGCTCGTAGTAGTAGTAGCTTATGTAGTTGAGTCGGATCATATTGTATTTGATGCTAGAATGAGCGTACCGTATCTTCCCTGTTTGTTTTAATCTAAGGTTCTCATACGTTTGGCAACACTGCGCGGCGTGGCGTGTCGCCCGCGACAATACAGATCGTGGTACCTTTAGGTACCATAATATCACAAAAATTAAATGCTAACGTTTGTTTTATCTAAGTATGTCAAATTTATTAGTGATGTTGTTACTTGTTGCAACAGGTTTAATGTTGTCAATGTAAAAAATACAATAGGTCTATAGTAATCGCAATCTGCGCTCACTGCAGTTCAAGCTCTCAGCTGTTAAGGAAGCAGGTAGGTACCTGTTATATATCATTAAGAAAATATAATATTAAATAAAAAATTAATTTGTAATAAGAACTATTCAAAAAATGTAATTTGTTTCACTTATAAAAGTTCAAAGTTTGTTTTAATTTATTTATTTTGGATAGTAAATGTATTCTGTTAATTTAACATGCCATTATTTTCTTATTATCTTGCCAAACGATAAATTAAATTTAAATTTTTTTAATAATTTAACATTATATTTTATTCTACGTAATTGTCAGGTAGGTAAATTATGTTATCAACTCTGTACCACATCCTGAGAATTAGTTTTGATTTAAATTGTAACTTTACTAATGGACAAGATAAGGCAGCCTTGACATACATCTTTTGTTAATTTGTAATTAGGAATGACTCATGTTAGCTTATTTTTTTAAATAGGTACATAAATACTTATTACCTTATTCGATGATCATCATGATACAACTACTATAATTGTTTTCAATTAGAAGATTCCTTTGTTGACCCATTCACCCAATTCTCCACTTTTGCTCTTATATTATTAGTAACATCTTCTTGCCGTTATTTCTGTATGTGATGTATGTTATACGAATTTGTCACTTCACGTGGCTATTCTATTTATGAAATCTCTTTTTCATGGTTTTGAAATACACCATCTTAATGATATATTAATCGAATTAGCAAAATATGTGAAGTTCATTTTAGTTTCGCAAGCTTTGATTTAAATGGAGTATTCCATTTCATGAGAACTAGTAAATCACCACGGTGGTGGAAGAAATCTTTCAATCCAGATTTAATAATCACTTCTAGATCTCCAATAACATTTTTTTTATGTCATCGAGTGACCCACCCGCCCTCACTTCGGTTCGGTATAGACTTATAGATTTTGCTCTCGGGCTTGTAATCAAAATCCTTTTAGAGAAAATGCACATAGACTTTATACTACATATGATGTAGATATGTATACATATTACCTACCATGATTCATTTCATCTAAACCCAAATAGGGAAAACAACACGTCAGGTAAGACGTAGAATTACCACGAAATGTCAAAACTTTGCAATTGAAATTGTGCTTTTAATCCAAAGTTCAAGGATGAAAATCAATAGGAGAGAGCAACATGTTTCTAAGTATAGACGAGACGGTAGAGCTGTTTATACGTACATTTTGTATGAAATATTTTAAATTGTGTGTACAAAAGATTGTTTTATTATGACCACTAAGTATACATAGACATATTTAAAAAAAAATCGCATAAAATTATTGAAACAAACCGATTTCGTGTCAAGTATTATCAATAACGGCCTTGGCAATGATTGTACGGTCGTTGACATAATACTCGCGTATTTTGAATATGTTTGAGTAATGGTTACGCTAACGTATGTAGGTGGAATTGGTGGAAATCATGACACAAGGTCGAGTCGCGCCGTTCGACGATAGATCAGTTCGTATACTTATCTCCTGACCGTTGCTTGTGATTTCCGTTCATAACGACAGCAGATACTTAAACAATTGACGACCAATTTAAATATTTTTTATGGGTGGCGCAAACTTCTGAAATTACGAAACTTTGTGCATCTTAGACAAGGTAATTATAAAAATATGTTTTTCTACGTAACATACGAGTAGAGAGGCAAACACACTTCAAAAAATTTTAATATTCTCAATATCATAAATACGGAAGACTCTTAGTCTGTATGTTATGTTTTCGATTTTATTGTATTCTGATTTACTTAATTAGGGTTTACCCATACATGACCTGCGAAAATCGACATGAGTCTATCTCATGCCGCGAAAATAAAACTTGAAGGGACCGTAAATGGATGTCAGCAACAAAACAAAATCACGGTAATTTAATCTCCCACCAAAACCATGATCATGTAAAGTGTTGTCAAAACAGTGTCAAAAAGTTATCACATCTCAAGTGAAGCTAACTAAGCTTTTAACTCTACGAAGAACTCTAAAAAAACCCAGAACTGTAACGTTAAAAGTATTTCGAAGTATGTAAAAGACATAAGCTGTGTGACTAACATGTTTATAATAAGTACAGTTATCTATAGGCTAACACTTATCAACAAAATTCAATCGCAACATTAAAGCAAAAATAAAACAAAATAATGTCGAATAAAAACACGTGACTCATCTGCCTACCTTGTAAAAGCCTTATTAAATTGTTGTTCGTAGAAGTTTCACTTTTAGTAGTCTTTCGAACATAGAACATGATGTATGGTGCAATATTTTTATTAATGTCATAATAAATAGGTATACTTTTAATTCCTCCTCTACCTCTAAGTTAGTTCTTAGTAAATGCTTCAGTTTTGTCACCTTGATAAAATCATCAAATTTAATTAACATGTCTTTGTGCGGCCTCTAGTTCGAGTTGTGGCTCTTCAGAAATTGTTTATTTTCTTTTGTTTCTATCTTAACACAGGTAATAATGGAAAAATCATTCATGAAACACTTTCAGTAAAAAAGTCTTACGACCACGGAGCCTATGAAGGGTCCGAAATGACAAGAAAAATTAAATATCCGTATTATATGTGTATGCATTTATACCCTTTCATAGTGTTTTATTATAAGAAATCTATCGTGTTACAGATGAGCCGTAAGCTTATGAAATGGATAACAAAAAGAGGCTGCTGTTGCAGCGTTACCAACATGATATCATCAAGGATCTAGAAGTAGAGTACATCATCGACGAACTCTTTTCCAAGCATGCATTCACGTCTGACGACTTTGAAGAGTTATTTAAAAAGGTAATTTGTATTCATCTGCGTTTCACTACATTCAACACTATTAATTGAGCAAATTGAGCTTCATGACAAAACATTGGTTGTCAACGTCAACTTTATGTAGGGAGTTCATATATATGGCGTGAATTTCTGAATGCACTTTAATTTCAATGTTATATTTTGTGCGAAACGAACAGGCTGGTTTAATTCAAGTCCATCGAAGAGCTACATCAGAATTAGTTTTGTAGGCTTAAAAAGGAGAATAATTTGCATTTATTTTAGTACTTTTAATGAGGTTAGTGTACAACAGTATAGGGGAAAATAGGTAGACAGATAAATTGAAAGAAAAATCATCATATATGTTTAAAGTGAGGATTGCAAACTGAAGATTCTAAAATTAAGACGTAAATCGGCTTTATGGCCATGAATTCAAACCGTTAATTAATAACCACTTGCCAATTGTAAAATTTTTCAAATCTACATACGAAGAGATGACTCACCTAATATGGTACGTCAATACATACATAGCTTTCGTAACAATTGTAACTGACACTACTTGATATAATCAAATACAAGGACACATTATTTTATTATTATTATTTATCTTGAAGACGATAAAATTGCATCACTAATAATAATAAAAAAATAGTGATATGTTTAGCAATTACTTTCTTTGTTATAATTTAATCTGATAACTACATGCAATAAAAAAGGTTATTATATATAGTCGAATATATTGAATCATTTGTATAAATTCTATGTATATGGTCATTTTTATTGTTTATACTTTAAGAGTACACACTAGACTGGAAAGAGATCAGTGGCTGTACTCTCAAAGTAGACTTTCGATAAATCTTGAGCGTCATCGTTGTCCATCTTACTCTAACTTAACATAGTTTTTAATGCGGCATAAAGGACACGACACGACGAAGTTCCTGAGTCATCTAGTACCCTTTCTACTTGTAATCGAACCAACTAACATGTAGCGAACTTGTCTTCTGTCTTGCAATCGTCTCTCTTGACGTAAATCGGCATTATGACCATTCGCAAGTAGTGTGTGCTTCCTGTCTCCTATCTTGCAATCGTTTCTCTTGAGCTCTTCCGTGTTTCGGAAGGCACGTTTAGACGTGGATCCCGGCTGCATCTGCATTCGAAGTACCCCCCCCTCTTCTGGAGTACAAGACTTCCCAATCCCTATTGATGAAATAGGGAGATTGGAACATGACCCCACCACGTGAGGTCAGCGCGAATTGGTGGATGCTAAAAAGTGCAGATAGATTGCAAATCAATAATCTTATGATGATTTAGAAAAACTGACGGTATTTTGATATTTTCCCCCTATTTAATGTTATTTTGATTGACCCATTTCTTCACTCTTTCCAGCTTTATTTGAAAGACCATACACTTACATGCCCTTCATCCATCCCCCGCCACTTGTGAAGTCTAAAGTAAACCTAAACATTTTCCTTATTGATAACAAGAGTTAGACATGTGTTTAACACGAGTATAAGTGTTTTTTTACAAAATTTGCCTAAACAAGAACTGTTTCTAACTTATTTGTAGTAAAACCGGTAGAAATCAGATTTGTGATAATTTCATTCAAGTAAGATTATAATTTATTATGTCATTTCCATTTTCTCCACGCCTTATCTTGCTGCTGGGCTGCTGTCCAACTAGATTTAAATGGTTCCATTTCTATGAAGGGAGTCATAGTTTATGAAATTAATCATGAATAAGATTATTTTAAAACAAACAGATAAATGGTATAAAAGTACAATAACATGGTTATATGTGGCAGAGTTTTTGCACTTCCTCCAACGTAATTACTTCTCTACATCAGAGCACTCGCACGGACCGGGCGCGGTACCTCATCGAGTTGCTTCTGCAGAATGGCACGAACGCCTCGTTCGAGGCTTTCGTCGATAGCTTAGCGAAGAGCTACAACTGGCTGTGGAGCAAACTGTCTGTGGACAACAACGAGCCCGTCATGAACGAGAGCTTCGAGGACAGCCTCAGCAGGGGCAACGTGCCTCGATTACCGGACCATTATGTGAAGAGAACCGCTTTGGTATGTTCCCGATTTGTGTATGCATTCTAAAAACAATAATCAATTTTATTTTAAGACCATTGGATTATGATATCTTCTTCACATTCTCAACCAGTGGCCCAAGTACGAACTTTGACAGCTCTGTAATCGTTTCGCAGCGTCAAAGTTTCTATGAAAACTAAGCAGAGCATCTATCGGACGTAAGAAGAAAGTAGCTTTTTCAATACAAAATTTCACGATGACAACACGATTTCGGAGCTGTCAAACTACGTGCTTGGGCTTCAGTTATGGATTTGTTTAACCTACTTACTTCACAAACTTAGCCAGGGTTTTAGCTATTACAATTAGTCATATAATGACTTACTCATTAAGTTTGTTTTTATTAACACAGTTGAAGAACTCTGAAGTTATATTGTTGCTTTAAAGTAGCACACAATTTTATGTCTAATCCATCTTTTTTAATTGACCAGCACATCAATGCAAAGAAAGACTGAGTAAGGCTTCCTGAAATCAGTATTGCTTTTAATAGTCATTTTAAATATGATAACTATTTGTATTGTAGTGGTTATATATTATGTTCAATTTGTATCAGATAGAAACTATGAGCATGCTATATGAGATTATCCTTTTCATAATAACTCTATACTATATTTAAATATAATATTTATTATAGAATTTTGGCCTAATGAATATTTATCTAAAAACACAACATACAGGAAATTAATACTGCAGCTTTAATAAAACGTTACGATTCTATTTGATATGCCTCACCATATCACATAAGATCATCTTATCTAACAAAACAAATTCGAAATGATACTCGTATGGCAGCATTACTCTCTAACAAAGACCGCTAAGGTAAAGTAACCACGGTTTTAACATCGTACTGAAAAAAAATAATACTCACTACTACTTTAATACTACACAGACAAAACAATTTGACTAATCGTCTGCAAATGAATACGGCAATCCATTCATTGGGTTAGATAATGTTAAAATGAAAATCCTAACCAATCCCATGGTCGGTGTGTTGATCGCATATTTTTCGCCCCGCCCACTTCATCGCAGTTTGCGTGGAACCTATTTTTAGCGCAGTTCGTATTCCATATCATTTCTAATTCGTTGAATCTAACATATTTCTTTCTTCAAAGGAATCTGAGGTAGCTCAAAAATTGAACCTGCTAACTCGCCACAAAATCCTCGTTCTACATGGTATGTCCGGTTCGGGCAAGACCTCTTTGGTTATCAGCGTCCTTCGGGAGAACTCGGATCTCATCAATAACAATTTCAATGGATGCGTCTTCTGGTTTAACTTGAGTAACTGCAAGACCGAAGATGAGATCGTGACTCAGCAGAACTTGTAAGTGCTAACTTAAAACTTAATTCTGTACACCTTTTACTGCCTATTGCAAAACGCGGAATTATGTTTTAGCCTTTGATTAAACCTAATTATTAATGTGATAAAAGTTGACATCTTTCAATTGACGACACTATATGAAACAAAACAGTGAGAAAAAATTGCCCTTGCTGAGTTTCTTGCCGGTTCTTCTCAGTACAAGGTCTCCCGCCTTTACGAACCGATGGCGTAGCGTTTGACTTTCATAAGAGCTTGTAACAGCCTAGACTGAATAAATGAGTTTGAGTTTAATGTTGTCTCTGTTTTCTTTTTAGCAAACAAAAGTGACAGCATCAATTTTAGTCCAGGTTTAGCTTTAGTCTACGTTTTGTAATAAGGCGGATATTGTTTTAAACTCATGGTCCCTAACATTATAATAATTAATAAATTTTCCAAATTGCTACCATGTACTGTATTTGTTTGTTTGTTCTGTACAAATTACTAATATCCCATTACTTACTACGTGATCGGTTTGAATCTAAGTAGAAATACCTATCTATTATTTTATTGGGTTGTTAAAAATAATAATTTACACTAAGAATTTGTTTCAACATGCCTTACCATAAAGAACGAGAGCACGAAGTCTCCCTGTCAATAACAATTGTTTTAGGTATGTTGACTTGTTGGCTAGTCATTTATATGCCTACATAATTCATCAACCCTGTCAACCAGATTTGCTTTAGGTATGTTGACTTAGTGGTCATTTATATGCCTACTTAATTCATCGTCAGTCATTTGTGTGTTCATATCTCGGTACTCATTTCATGTAATACATGATTGTATTAAAATATAAAAATCAAGTCAAAGTTGTAAAAGACATTCTTCACAGAGATTTTATTGAAGCGGCTTTCGGCTTCGTAATTTGCGATCATCTTAACAAAAGCACAGACTGACGCCTCAACAGATCGTCATTTGTTCATCTCCGTAGATTGTATGAAAAGGCTTCAAACCCCAGAACAAGAACTAAAGCACAGAAAGAGTTTACATTCAACTCGTATAGTTATCTTATTTTTACATATAAACCAAAAATGGACAAATATATGTTGTTATGAACAGTGTGCTTATCACCATACAAACCTCAAATTGGATACCTTTATATGCATTGAGGATAATTTGGTTACCTTTAAGAACCCCAATCAAACTTATGTCAAATGCAACTTGCCAACACGCCACTTATACTTTTTGGTTAGGTAACACTTTGTTTAGAAATCTTTTCGTTAATCTATTGTCTATGGGAGTGTACGCCCAAACAGCATAGCATTACTCCTATGCCTTAATTCTTGTTGTGAGCTTCGAACTGTCTCAACATATCGTCTTTTATCTTCGCAGATTATATAGAAAGGCTTCGTCGATATACACGCGGAACTCCCACATGAATTCCACAATGTCAATGTCGAGTTTCGGGTCCAATATGGATTCTCATTCACTATCGAGTTATGAATGGACATGGCAGGATCTCAGGGATCGGTTGAAGGCTCAGTTCGCTGAGCCGGTGCTTAAGGACGCGCTATTGGTGCTAGATGAAGTTAACGAGAAACGGTGTGTGGAAGCTTTCGATATCGGATGCAAGATACTGGTGACCACCAGAGATTCGGATGTGGTGGCCAATTTCCAACCGCAGATTATCAAAGTAAGTTTTGATATTGCCTCAATTTTCAAATAAATAATTGTATAACTCGTGTCATTTAAGAAGGGAATCGAAAATGCCGAGGCTATACATTCTGTCTCTCTCGCACGTTACTTAGGATAGCATGTACGATAGGGACAGAATGTCTTAAGTCGTCATTTGCGATTCCGTTCTTTAATAACACGAGTTACATTTTAATTTACCAGAATTAGGTTTAGTAGGTTCTGGAACAAGGCTATCATGCGTCTAAAACAGTAAGCTGTGACATAAATGATGTTTTTTTTTATGATGTCCTAATAATTATTGTTTATATAAATTTGCAAATTCGATATCTGACGATTTCTGAAAGTACACTCCCCAATTACAGACTAACACCATAAGCACGCAAGGAAATGCTTTATATCAGATTTTAGAACATTGTAGAAAAAATGTTGATGTTCATAACTATAATTTTCATCTATTTGGTGTCGTAGGCAAGACACTTTATATCACACTCTCATTTTCAGATAGAAAATAGCCTTGAAGAAGAAGAAACACTCAAGTTACTAGCATCATATCTAGACTTAGAAGTATTTCAGTTGCCAAGGCAAGCTAAGAAGTTCCATGATGCCTGCAAAGGGAGTCCGTTCAATTTGTCTTTGATCGGTGCTCAGTTAGCGGAGAATAGGGAGAAACTAATACATGACACTAAACACTGGAATTATTTCGTGAACAAGTTGGCGAAGAAAGATTTCATTTAGTGAGTGTTTTTTTTTTATTTATTCTACTTTTTGTGATCATAAAGGCTATTTGACAAGTTTTTGAAAACGTTCACACGTTATTTATTATTGTATAGTGACTCCATAAAAGTGAATATTTATAATTCTTTTGCGTAGGTATATCAGTAAAAAAACGAAAATAAAACTTATGTTTTCTCACGGCTCTCATTAAAACGACAAACGGTACAAAGTAATGTCACTTCGATAGCATGTTTACAAGCTGGTGTCGTCATTTTAGGCTCCACCAATCCTCGGCGATGACGGTCACGTGACAATAGATCAAAAATACTTTTCTATTTCATGATTTTTAGTAATATTATTTACATACATTTACATTTACAAATAATGACGTGTATTTAACATGAATATATTGCCCAATATATTATATTATACCAATATTCATGTTAAATACACGTCATTATTTGTTACTTTATTTTTAATAAGTACTGTCAAATTGCCTATTATGCAAGTATTGTATAAATAATTATTTTGTAACAAGCATTTTTTGACACGCATGTAATATTTGTATTTATGTATTTTTTTTTTCATAATCGTCATTTAGTATTGTCCACTGCACATTTTCTGATCCCTCCTATCTCCCTCCTCTTTATTGACACTACGAGTAATGGTATCTAGATATAAAAAAAATCATAACTGTATTATACATATTTTCCTGTAAATACAAGTGGAAAGAGATTATCTTCAGTAACTAAAATAATCTCCGTAATGCGCAATAAAAATAAGCGCTTCTTCTCTTTTAAATCAACCGCAATCACGTCTCTACTTTATTGCGCATAATCATCTTTGTATCACGATTCACAGCTATTGGAAGTCCAATGACAATCCAATGAAAACAATAGAGGTTTGCATACATTCCTTGACTGCGGACATCTTGCCACTGTTCAAGACACTTGCGATACTACCCGACAACGTTAAAGTGTCCGCCGAAGTGCTCAGTAAACTATGGAATAAAGCTGTTTCCGACGTGGAAAGCATAATGAAGAAATTGCGCAGCAAATCCCTAATCATCGAGACGTATGACCACGATCAGAGAAACTATATATACGAAGTGCACGATCTAATCATGAACTATTTGAAATCCTGCGTTCCTGATGAGGAAAGGAAAAAACTGCACAGCGACTTCTTGAAGAGTTACCACTATGACAGTAATTGCCCTCCGTTTGATATAATCGATGATGGCTACATAGCCTTCTATGTGGGCTACCATATTCTGAATACGAAGAACTTGAACGATCGTTGGAAGTTGTTCAATAAACTGTATTTGGATCTGAAGTTTCTTGGCAACAAAGTGAGACTCACCGGTCCGGCCGATGTCATATTGGATCTTCAGAAATATGAAACGCACATAGTTAACTGCGTGAGTATGGTTTAGATATTTCTTTCGTAGCAAAGTATTAAAAATCTGTAATGTTTTTTTTTTATTTACAAACTTTATACATGAACTGGCATGATCAAAACTTAAAACTAAATTTAACATCAGTCTCTCCTTTTCATTCTGTAAAGAGAATGACAAGGATACACTACTGTGTGCTGCAAATTTAATTTATATTTAAAAAATCTTGCCGGATTCATCACCATTCTCACATTAATATGATACTATTATAAAATATGGGCCAATTTTGCCAGTAAAGTTTATCAGCAACATCATAACACTGGATAAGTATTCCAGATAATATACTGCTTTAGCTGACACATTTTTATATTCAAGACCTGTAAATCCAATTTTTTTCTTTATCTAGCATGTCATCATATGGTATATAAGTTTCGAAAAGACCTAAGCACGAACCATTATCGAATTCGAATAGTTGAATTCGATTTAGATATAAAAGTTCAAATGTGTACTGATTTTTAATTCTCGTTACGTCCGTTGTGGCGCTGCTGTTCAAGTTTCCATACAAAATTTTACATTTCGCATTCGCAAACTATTAGAATTCTATATTGGTTCGTGCTAAGAACACAGGTACTTTGTTAGTTAGCGGTAAAATAAGTAATATTGTTTTTTTATTATTATTATTTTTTTTTTTAAGCATGTAACTGCTTGATGTTTAAATCTAAAGAAAAAATAACTAGTTTTTTTCTTTTTTACTTTTTCTAACTTCATAAACGTTTTAGGAACTCGACTTAAATCTCCTCAACAGTGTAAAAGCTTACCTGAGTACCCACGGTATTGACTTATACCGATATTCGTACACAGACATCGTTCAAAGTATACTACAACATGAGTCCAATGGTTTACTCTATACCAAAGCTTTGGACATTGCTCAAACCAATTGCTCAAATAACGAACTTTACTTCGAATTTACGTAAGTATCTAAAGCCCACTTCTTGCAAAACTTGCTAAATCTGGATTTAAATAGAACTGGATTTAACCTATACAAAAATGTCAAGCGTCGATGTCAATTTAACATTCTTGTCTGGTTTTGGTAAAATCGAGATTTAGCAATATTGCTGCAAGTGGACGTAAAATCTGGTTTCGCTATAAAAAATATTTGAACAATCTGTTTTATATTCATCTTTTTTCCAATAGACATGAACAAGACGTAGAAGAAATAAGACATTCCACTATTGATGTTAAGGAAATGATCACATCTGTGTGCTTTCTAGGTGATTATGTTTTAGCCGGAACTGTAACAGGTGTTATAAAGGTAAGCTATTTTGAACTTTATGCTATTGAAATAAAATCGTTTTTGTTTAAATTTATTTGAAAAACTAAATTTCTACTTTAATCCCTTTTTTATCTTTGCTTGAAATCGCGATACATTTCAGTGTGAAATTTTTAAGATGTTAAACGTTTTGACTCACAGTGTTTTAAGTAATTTCTTTGTAGTGGACATAAATATGGCCTGAAGGTATATAGTGGATAGTAAATAATAGCTCATAGACTTTCGATATGGTGCAGTGTCCCTCGAACATTGTCTGACCTAACCTCATCTCCAACCCCTTGGAGCTCCGGAAATTACAAATCTCTCTCTCTCTCTCTCCCTTTCTTACCTACTGAAACACACCACCTATATAGTGCGACAAAGATCTTTATGACGGCGGCGAAAATTAACCCTAACTCCGCTGACTTTGTAAACGTCATATTTTGTCATAAAGGTCATTTACGTAGACAGCGGTGCCCTCCCTGAACTGTCAATCACATTCATAAAGATTCTTGTAGTTAGCGTTATATCCCCAAACACACTCCAATCTGATTTCTCAATCAATTTCACTTGCAGTTCTTCCACATTCCCACTAACAAACTAAAGAAAGAGGTGTCGAGTACAGGCTTCCCAATAAAATGGGTCCTTCTCTCTCTGTCTTTGTAAACGTCATATTTTGTCATAAAGGTCATTTACGTAGACAGCGGCGCCCTCCCTGAACTGTCAATCACATTCATAAAGATTCTTGTAGTTAGCGTTATATCCCCAAACACACTCCAATCTGATTTCTCAATCAATTTCACTTGGAGTTCTTCCACATTCACACTAACAAACTAAAGAAAGAGGTATCGAGTACAGGCTTCTCAATAAAATGGGTCCTTCTCTCTCTGTCTTTGTAAACGTCATATTTTGTCATAAAGGTCATTTACGTAGACAGCGGCGCCCTCCCTGAACTGGCAATCACATTCATAAAGATTCTTGTAGTTAGCGTTATATCCCCAAACACACTCCAATTTGATTTCTCAATCAATTTCACTTGCAGTTCTTCCACATTCCCACTAACAAACTAAGGAAAGAGGTATCGAGTACAGGCTTCTCAATAAAATGGGTCCTTCTCTCTCTGTCTTTCTCACATACTGAAACACACTACCTATAGGTAGTACGTAGCGTGATATCCCCAAACAGTCACTCAAATCGGATATTCCAAATCAATTTCACTTGGAGTTCTTCCACATTCCCATTAACAAACTAAAGAAAGAGGTATCGGGTACAGGCATCTCAATAAAATGGGTCCTACTCTCTCTCTTTCTTTCCTTTTCTCTCTTTCTCATCTACTGAAACATACCTATAGGTGGTACGTAGCGTAATATCCCCAAACAGTCACTCAAATCGGGTATACTCAATCAATTTCACTTGCAGTTCTTCCACATTCCCACTAACAAACTGAAGAAAGAGGTATCGGGTACAGGCGTCTCAATAAAATGGGTCGGAGCTTGTCCCTCACATCCGCCCCAAGTGGCCGCGCTTACTAACGACGGATTCATCAAACTATGGTATATCGACGGCCTGGAACAAGACGAAATGGAAGACGTCATTGAAGAAGGTATAAATAAATCCTACTATAATATTATTTGAGGAGCTGGCGACCAAAATGGTATAATTACGCATGTGGTCAAACTACTTTTTTTTACAGTCCTGAGGTTTCGGGCCCTCTGAATTTGAATCTCAAATAATTTTCAATCGAAACCGCCTAAAACAGTGTTAAAATTACTAAATTTATAAATTAAAAACCATGCCAAAAGCTCACTGGATGTATGTCATTCAGTTTTATACAGCTCCTGTAAAATTTAATTTTATGTAATTATACCGTTTTGTTAGCCAGCTCCTCATTTATGTGAATTTTTGTATGTTTGGAAGTTTTTAACCGGCGAAAAAAACGGAGGAGGTTCTCAAGTCGACGCGTATATTTTCTTCATCTATGACTACGCAAAACTTTACAGAGTAATCTGATTTGAATAATTATTTTTTTATTGGAAACTGTATAGCTCGAAGTTGATCCCATATGAAAAGTAAAAAATAAGTAACCCTAAAATAATATTTGGAGTCGGTGCCATGCAAGTCTGATAGATCTGAAATCCCATTTACTACATGGCACTGGCACCGACCCCAAATATTATTTTAATAAACGTAAAGAAAGGTTTACTGGTAGAGAATGCCATGTGGCTTTAAGTCGGCCATTTGATGAAAAACAATGAAGAGTAAATGAATAAATAAATATATTTACCCCATTTTTGTTCCAAATGAAAAAATAAGATAACTATATGAGTGGAATATAAACTCCTTCTGTGCTTTAGTTGTTTTTCTAAGGTTCTTAAAGATCACCTAATTATGGAATCCTCCTTTTTAGAATCCGAAGAACCATACAACAATAACTACGCAAGCAACTGCACTATATCACCCAAAATGGGTGCATTCATCAACTGCCGGTGGTCAAACAACGAAGAGACACTTATCACCCACACATCAAAGATGATAATCGTATACAATTACAACGGAAAAGTGTTGAAAGTTTTCGACAATTTTGATAAGGAGCAAGACATATTGTGTTGCGTGCCTTGCAATAACGATAGGTATATATTTGCTGCGGTGACACACAACGGGAATAACAGTCTTGTAGTAATAGATCAGACTACTAAAGAAAAAGTGGGGTGTTTTGAAGAAACTGATACGGTGCTGAGTATCTTGACTGTACCTGGTGAGTGCTATTTTAAGTAAATGCCTAATTTATAACGTCCATTTTGTCTTTTTTTTTTTCATAGAAATTCATTATTAATAAAGAATATGATTTCCATACTTTATTGAATTACTTAGTAGGATAAAATAAATGTTTCAGTTTAACATAGTTTTTTCTAAAGATGAGCATAGACAGCTCTATTGCTAACAGAGCCTTTCCGAAATCTAACTTCAGTTACGAAGTTTTTAATTATTTATATCGATTACTCTTTTTGTATAACTCAATCAAAACAAAACTTCATTCAATAAATCTTGCTTAATACAAAGATTTACAACTTCACGGCATTACAAAACAAGTTTTATTTTCATAATAATTCCTTTTTCACAGGAAGTAATAAAATCATAACACTCAAATCTAAAGAGATAACAGTGCACGAATACAGAATAAGCTATAACAACAACACACGAAGCCACACATGTAGATGCAACAACCTACTCTCTGCCAAAGACATACGGGACAATTTACTATTCCTCGCTATAGCTGTGAACAAAACGGGGACTTTATTATTTGTGTCGACAAATGACAGCCAAATAATATGCGTTGATCTCAAGACTAATCTTCGCGCGTTCGACCTTGAAAATCGACGTGGGTGAGTAATGAGTCGTTATCCTAAATACTTTGCAGTCGATTTATTTATTACCTAGTTTGTCACCTGCTATGTTTAATATTAGAGTCTTACTAACTGTCCCAGCGAACTTCATACGGCCATAAAAAATAGGGGTATTTCTGTATGATATATCATAAAAAAATAAAAACAAAAAAAAAATTGTGAGTGAGGATCACCCTTAACATTTAGGGAGATGAAAATCGGTCGAGCCGATTCGGAGTAGTTCAATTACGCACACCGTGACACGAGAATTTTATATATTAGATATTTACAAATGACCAAATGTAGTGTGTTATCGAAATTAATTATCAGCCTAGATACAGGGAGAGCAGTCCACACACAGAAGTAAAGAACGGAAACTGTAATAACATATTCATTTTGACACAATGAATAAAGTGGGTATTGACAGCGCAGTTGCATTAATATATAATTGATAAACGGTATAATACATTTCTGTAGAAAAAGAAATATAAAGAAAATATATATCTGTGTTTTCGAATTCAGTGAAATTTTATGTGTACATTCTTGTGGGTCTATAGCTTAGGTTCTAGGATTTTTCTATATTTTTACAAGTCAGGAAGGAGAATTATTCTGTCTAAATATTATTTGACATATCGGCTTAAACTGAAACTGATAATCATATGTTTGTTCTTGCCCAATGTCCACTAGTATGAAGCAATAATTTGTTATTAAATTTAATCTTTTAATAATTGGTAGTGGATATCATAGTGTGTAGAAAGTAACTATTTATCTTTATAATGTTTTTATTTTAAGCATTTAACTGCTTGATGATTAAAGCGTGCTAGATGTAGAGTGCATGGAATTTTTCCTTGAAAAAAAAAATTATTTAGAACTATTTATCTTTTTGAAATATAGTGTGATACCTACTCGTATTGTTCCAGAAACGTAATATGTATGGACGTAAGTGAAGTAGCGGTGTGGAATGATTTCGAACCGGGTTCGGACGTATTGCTTACCGGTACGGGCACAGTCGAAAACTGTGCTAAAGTATGGAATTTGGACGCCTCTTATGTACTGCAGACTACTCAGAAGAACGGGTGAGCATTCTTCACAAACTGAATGATAATAAAATTGGCATCTCTTTTCAGTACCCTTAGTACGAGTTTGAGCTCACGAAAACTATCATAGTTTTCGTAATTGTAAATTATGTTTCTATGTCCATTTTGGTGAAAAGTAACCAAATATACTTAAAATTTGAGAAGACGCAAATAATTGAATGACAGAATTTAAACGCTGTTTATTTGTATTGAAACGAAAACAATAAAATCAGTACCCTTAGTACGAGCGCGAGCTAACGATAACTATCATAGTTTTCGTAATTGTAAAACTCGTACTCAGGGTACAGTAGTAGTGGAGTAGCTAAATTGATTTAGCAAACAATTTTCCTTTATTTCGCAAAAAAAATTGAACCCTATTTTTGTTAAAAACACAGCAATAGTTTTTATGTGTATATATTTTAAAGTTTTTATCCGATGTCGGCATTTTAACTGTATCCCTGCCTAGCCTAGGCCACAAATGCAATCGTCCTTTTTCTATTTCAGCAAAGTCCGTTTGACCAAAAAGTTCGATGTAAGCTTCCTACACCATCAGTCGCCTCAAACTCCATCTACAGCCTCGACTAGCACATTACAGAGTGTCACAAACACCCCTCGTCGACACCAATCCTTCAACCACACAGAAACGCCGAAACGACCCGTCGTTTCAAGTCTAAGCTTGGATAGACATGCACTAAAACCGCTCAACTTGAAGGGCATTTGCAATAACAACGATGGAACGTATCAACCACTTTTAGCTGTCGTTGATGATAAAAACAATATACAGGTTAGTTGCCAAACGATTAACAACTTTATTTTCATGCACTAAGGTCGAGCACTAGTATATGAATCGTGTGACAAGATGAGAAATGCATTATTGAAGTTAATTTGCAATTTTATAAATTCCATACACTACCATGATTTGCTTAAACGCACATTTTTATCACTAACATTGATCCTAATCAGGATTCTAACCCAAACTTTATTTCTAGCCCTTCACATGGCTATTAATTTGTATTTGCTATTGTAAAGTCTCTCCTTTTCATTCCCTATAGAGCATATTAAACTACTTTTATATTATAAATAGCAAACTTAATTATAATTACTTGTAGTGATAGAATAAGTAATTATAAAAAAATCTTACACAGGTAATGCGTGGCAGGAAAGTTCTCACAGAAATAAGAACTCAACTGGACGAAGAGATTACCGCAGTTCTAATATCGCCGTGCAACCATTACATTATCTATGGATTAACCATGGGTAGCGTAAAGAGATACGCTTTGCGATCCAAAGAGACCAAAGTTATAATAGATATGTATGATCCAGTGCAATATTTGAATTTTGTCAGTCCCAATCTTTTGATAGCGAGCAGTAAGAACGGTTGCTTCATGGCTTATAGACTCACAGCTGATGGTAGTTGGAAGACCGAAATGATGCAACGTGGCAGAACCAATTTAGGTTCGCAGGAAATCCTCAATGAGATACAAGGTAAGTTTTTTAAGAAATCTTAATTAGAAGTAGCTGATAGTAAAATACTCAATAACTCAAGTGTTCCAAGTCCAATTCTGTATGATATAGTAAATGGTTGAATGGTAATTAGGCTTTGAAATATTTTATAAAAGACTACCTACTACCTATTTTATAAGAGACCTACTTAGGTACAGAAATACTCGTTTAATGAAACGCAGCTTTGAACTGATATGAGAGTCATTTAGTCTCTGAAACCACATACTATAGATATTTTAACTTAGAATCCCTTGAACTCTTCTCCTCAGTCATACACACACAGATTAAGCAATAAATGCTTTCGCAAGTTTTATAAACATTAATGTGTATTAGAAGAACTTTTTGCAAAATAAATCAGTATGTCTATGGCAACCATTATATTGATATCCCAATTTCAGGTATAAAGAAGAAGAGTCCCCCTCTACCATCAGAGATACTTTCTAGTTCAGGCAGCGAGACTAGTCTCAACTCTAAAAACAGGGTTTTCCACAACGGTGATACCATGGGTCACAAATCACAAAAGCACAGTGGTCTAGTTGAATGCTTTTGGGTGAAAGATATCGGTCTTTTAACTGTGGAGACTAATGCAGTAGTGAAACTGTGGAATAGTGAAGTGAAATTAGTCAGTGTTAAGAACGCTAGGCAAGCAGATGCCTATGTGACTTGTGCGGCCTTCCAAAAGAATATTCTGGTTATATGTGATGGGTATAAGACAGCTTTTCAGGTGAGTTTCTTTCTTTCTTAATTTTTTTAAGGTTCTTTACCGAAAATAATCCTATTGCTTCATGGCTATGACAACAAATACAATAATCAAGTTAAAAAATAAGAGCCTTAATAATAAAAAAATTACTCTCCATACTTGAAAAATGCCATGGCGATAATATATCAGTTTTATGTTTATAATATTATTATTTATAAGGGTTGTAAAACTTAACCTTCTCAGAAACATTTTGGCCTTACAAAGAACGGACCCATAAAAAGGCCACTATAGGCCAATTTTGGCTCATATAATTTGATTCCAAAAGCATGGGCAACTTATTTAATGTCAATATTTTTCAAATAATATATTCTTAGTTATTTGATAGTGTTCAAGGAATATTTGTTAAGTTTTTTAAAGAAGTTTGAAATCTGTTTAGCATTTAATGTTTCGTTTATTTTTTATGTAGTTTTAGTAAAAGCGGATATTTCTATAATTACAACTCTAGTTTTAAGTTGAACAACTGATTTATAATATTGGCCTTGTATAAAGACATGATCTTAGTAAGCCCGTTTGACAGAGCTTAATAAAAGTTAAGTTTAGTAAACAGTGATTACATTTAGAATTAAAGCAAGTGATTTTTAAGTTACACAATGAAACAAAGTGTGAATTAATAATTTGTTTCTTTCATTTATCCAGTAAATGTAAAAACTGTTTATTCTTTAGTGTGCCCTTCCATGGTCCACCCCCACCTTACATACATCCACACAATATAAATTACACTTTAACAATGCCACATTCTCATTGGTTAGTTCTAAGATATTATCTAGAAACAATGGTGACAGTTAGCCAGGCTATTTTTATAATTACTATTCTTCCAAATGTGTAGTCTGTTATCTGCCAACATCCTGTTCAGTATCTTCTTCCTTCAGATAGCTATAAAAAAGGTCTATGTTAAATCATACTGAACCCAGTTAATTATTATTGATCTTTGCTGTGTGTCGTAATTTAATATAAGCATAAAATAATCAAAAGAAACTTATACTACAAAAAAAATATACTCAACCCAGGCATCAGACAGGATTCCGGGGAGATTTCTTTAAATTTATAAATCTAGCGGTTTAATGCGTAAAATATATTATTTATAAACAATAATATTATAATAAATTATTCACAGACGTTTGAATTGAAGCAAGGTGAGCAGATAGAACTGAACCCGATACAAGATTACCGGTTGAACAACCGGATAACATCGTGCGATCTGACGGCGGACGGCCTGATTCTCGCCATGGGACTCGAATCTGGGGAAGTTGTGGTGAGTTTACGTAGGCTACTGATTGGAGAGCTCCATGACGCAGGTGGTAAGCGGGTTCGGCCTGTGATCGTGAAAGTAAAACAACTTTCGCAATGGTCATTCATTGGATGGGTGATACAAAACTTGTGATCTCGAGCTCCTCCGTGCTACGGAAGGCACGTTAAGTCGTTGTTCCCGGCTGCATCTACAGTCGTTAGCACGCTGCAAACCGCACTAAGCCCGCGCGGTGGGTCACGGTCCAGTCGCCCTGTTCCTTCCATAGGGAAGGCTTGTGCCCCAGCAGTGGGGACATTAATAGACTGATTATGATGGATGTGGTTTGTTTTATCTTTTTTCGTGACATAAAGGAAATTTTTGTTATACAACTTCAGAACTAGCTCCATTAGCTTGTGCCAGCACCTTTATCTGCTTTTCATATGTGTTAATCCAGATATACTATTTTACCTTGTATGATTTTTTCAAGTTCCTCCAAAATTTATAAACTCTGTAGGTAAACACTTGGAAAAAAAGGCTTTTCATACAAAAATCAGAGCTTTAAGCTCTGATTTACCTTAGTCTTTAAGACTAAGGTGATCTGTTTTTTCCTTGGATTTTCACAATACTACGCGAGAAAGTGACATAATGACTCTAATAGGGTATTTGACAAGTTTTAGAAAACGACCTCATGTTATTAACTAATGTTTGTGGAGTCCATAAAAAGTGGATATTCATCATTATGTTGTGTTTCAGTAAAAAACTAAATCAAAAATTCAATTTTCAAGTTGCCGCTATAACGTATCTCTGAGCATTATGGCTTCTCTCTTGTATGTGACGTCACATGGCTGTCATTAAAACATCAAACGATACAATGTAATGTCACATTTACCGGAAGTTTACTAGCGTGTACTTTAGTAATCGCCAATCCCAGGCGTTTTCAGCCACGTGAACATAGAAAACAAATGTTCTATCAGATTCTAAAATCTGCTAATTTAATACAAATGGTACACTTTTTATATATATACATATAACTGAAAAAAGCGTGGGGCGCTTCATTATTAAATTTAAAGTGAATTGTTGAATATTATGCATCACGTAATATATCAATTGATTTGATAAATATTACAATGAAAAGCACCCCACGCTTTTTCAGTTATACATATATAGGTATATCTTAAAATCAACTATAAACATGGCTTACTGTAAAGCCCTAATGAAGTAAACAGAGAGTATATTTTGTTTATTTTTGACTTTTTAGTGCAGTACCCTTAGTACGAGTTTTACAATTACGAAAACTATGATAGTTTTCGTGAGCTCGCACTCGTTGATAATTTTTTTTTCGTTTCAATACAAATAAACAGTGTTTAAATTCTATCATTAAATCATTTGCGTCTTCTTAAATTTTAGGTTTATTTGGTTACTTTTCACCAAAATGGACATAGAAACATAATTTACAATTACGAAAACTATGATAGTTTTCGTGAGCGCAAACTCGTACTAAGGGTACTGTAAGTAAAAGCGTGTTTTTAGTTTTTTAAACTATTTTCATACTGTCAAATAGCCTATACTATCCTAACACATATATCTATTCACAAGAACTGTTTTACAATCTCTTACAAAACATAAACATACTAAAGCCTATTTTTTACCTCTTCTAGATATGGAACGTACCCGGCAAACGTCAATTAAGATTGCTCAATCACCACAAGAACGCTGTCCAATGGTGTTCGTTCTCGCCTGTTCCGAACAAACTGTTCAGATCCGGTCACAATTCGCCGAGCCCTCAAACTACTGTGGACAACGGGGACGATGAGAACCCGCCATTGGTACTCGTCACTATGGCATCAGAAATCGTGTGGTGGAACGTCACTTATATACTAAAAGTTCGCGCGAATAAAAGCTACTGGAGGTAAGTTTTTTTCTATAGGCAGAAGAAAAGGCTATTAATAATTTACTTGATTGATGGACCAGCTCTGATAATGGCTATCTTCAATGGTGGACAATGTAGACGATGAGAACCCGCCATTGGTTCTCGTCATTATGACATCAGAAATCGTGTAGTGGGACGTCACTTATATACTAAAAGTTCGCGCGAATAAAAGCTACTGGAGGCAAGTTTTTGATGTCTAACATCTTTCCTCTCGCTTTCGTGCAATTTGTGGGAGCGATTACGTGAAATGGGACGGAAGTGTGTAACAGAAAGTTCGGGAAGCGCGCGCTATTTGATTTGATAACAATGTTCAAATGGCTTACTCCTTTTGTAGTAGGTTTTATTTCTTTTTTACTAATATAAGGTGAGGTTTCAAATGTTACACATCATACGCGACTGCTGTAAGGCTCGCTCGTTTTTTTTCTATATGCAGAAGAAAAGGCTAGTGTAATAATTTACTTGATTGATGGGCCAGCTCTGATAATGGCTATCTTCAAATTGCGTTGATATTTTTATTCCAGTTGAATAATATAAATTATAATAAATAAGATTTTATTTGTTAGATTTGAAAAATATGTACTACGCGTTCACATCTAGTTAGCCGTCGATAACCGTTACAAAATGACGTCACATGCAAATCACTCACGTAATATATTTAAAATTCAATAAATTTTTTCCGTTTAAATGGTATTGGTGCTAGTCCCGTGTGCTGCTTGGTCCACGTGGAATTTTTTCTAGTAATATTTTCATTGAATTTAAACATCTAGCAGTTAAATGCTTAAAAATATAAAATATAAATCATCCGAGGGACCACAGTTTAGACGTCGTATTTTTTTTTCTTTGAATGATTGTAGTTTTTCATTTATTAAAACATCTTTTTTTTGTCACATTATCTCAATTTAATAGATACCTACTTTCCGAGTAGCTTATGGCCAGAGAGAACTTACGAAGCTTGTAGTTCTTAAAATATTTTATTACAATTGTTTTAAGACTAAGCCTAAAGCCTGCTAACTTTATTTTGAGAAATTCGATCTGGTCCCTAAGTTCACACGCACATCGCGTAAGTATGTTTTCGACGCCTACACAGGAGTGAGACAGATAGTTTGCGATGCAGACGGTTTTTAGGATTTTTTTTATGAAGCGCAACAAATAGGGTATTTGACAGTATGAAAACTTAAGTATCAATTGTATGCATCTGTATTTAATATGATAGCAGCGATTATACTAGTCTGAGGGAACAAACAAATAATAACTGTTCAAAGTATATTGTCACGTTTTTTTTGTTCAAGACTAAAATTACGTCCCACGCTAGTAAACTTCCGGTCAAAGTGACATTACATTGTATCGTTCGACTTTTTGATGACAGTCTTTTTTTGGTTTAGTTTTTTTTTACTGAAATACTCAACAGAATGATGAACAGCCACTTGTAAACATAAGTAAATAACGTGAGATCGTTTTCTAAAAACTTGTCAAATACCCTACTTCACCTGATGTTAAGCGTAGGTGAAGTCCAGTCGCGAAGATAGATAATGCGGCAGAAGGTATGCCACTCCAGCTCACTTTGCTGGCCTGAACACAATCTCCTGCACCGCGGAGCCCTGGAACGCTACTTATCAGCAGAAATAGAACACCCGAGAAGTGGTGTTATTTAACTCTGGTCTTCTGTAAGGTGGAGGTTGCTTTCCCAGACGGGCGCTCCAATTCGAGCGGAAAACCCCACTGTGCCCTACCACTCTTAAGGGTTTGATTTATGTTTAACGTCTGGTGGATCTACTAATAAATTGATAAATGCGATTATTTACAGAACCGGCCGTAACGTATTGACGCCAGTTGCTAGTCCTATGGACAATAAGAACGAGCTCACGGAATCCATGGAAGGATTGAGATTGGGTTCTACTGGCTGCAATTTCTTCTTCGGAAACGGTGTCTCTGCAGAACAAGAGTGTTGGAAAGCCCTGTGGAGAAAGAAAAAGTAATTTATTTTGATACTGTGCAATTTCATAAATATTTTGAAGAGATTGTATGAGGGAATTCAGATTTTCATCTTTATCCATTCAATATTGTAAATTTTAATTCCGATGCCAAAAGTAAGGGTCATTTACACAAACATTCTTAATTCAATCCTGTTCAACACATCATGCCTTCTTTGTCGATTGTTTAAAATTGAATAGAGATAGAATATTGCTTAAACAGATTATATTTAAGAACATTGGTGCAACAAGATCTTAATGATTTTGTTTATAATTATTATTGTAAAAAAGTCCTTTTCTTTTTCGTTTTGTTGTGAAAAATGTTACCTCGCTTCTATAAACAAATTTCTCTTTACCCAGGTATAAAGAAGGCTCAAAGAAGAAAGAAATATTGGCGTGCATCAAACTGTCAGGTATGAACGCCAAAAAGTTCTGTCACGACGAGAAATTCGGTTGTTTCGTCACTGTGGACAATTCCGGCCACGTTCACATAATGAACGTAATGAAATCATAACGATGCCATAACTAGTGAACTTATACTGCCATATGTATTTATACTACTTATACGCAACCTTATTTCGTTTTCATAGAGGCGATGTTTGAGTGATCCATAAATTTTGTAGTATATAATACACTGCCATAAGTATTTATACTACTGATTCTTATCTTATTCTGTCTTCATGGAGACGACATTTCAGTGATCCATAGATTTTCGTGATCGTAGTATTTTTTATACAGACAGTGAGAATTCTAACATTAAGTACACTCGTGAACCAACGTGTTTTGAATGAACTAAAGATTCATTTTGAGTATGACTGAATTTTTATATAATACATTTGTACTCAAAAGGAGACGGTCCAAAAGTGGTAGCCGGTTTCCGGCAGCGACGAAACATAAATCATTTGAAAACTTGTTTTATGTAATAACATGTACAGATATTTATATTTTTTTATTTTTCTGCGATTAATTCTAAAGAAAATTTTACTAGAAAAAATTCTACGCAGACCAGGCAGCAGACGGGAGATTCTTTAAGATTTAAACATCTATCTACATCTAGCTAATATAACTATCTCCGGTTAATTTTAAATGCTGTCATAAATAACGTCATATTTTTAGCAATTTATTATAGTCAATCCGATATTAGTGAAATCATAGTGAAATTATTATACCAATTTTTGATTGGTTTTTCTTGAAATTCAATATCCACAAAATACCTAATAACATGAACGGAATCATTACCACTGCTTTTCTTGCGTATTGATTACATAAATAAATTTGCCAATTATCAATCAATAACTATGTCATTTAAGATTATAATAATTATTTTAAATAAGCGAGTATAAACTAAATTGTAGATTTTTTTTTCAAACCATTTAAAATTCAATTTATGCATGTGTCATAAAAATTTTGAGTCTGCCAGAGACTGTCTACCACCATCCATACAATTTTGAACCGTGTCTTTTATCTTCAAGACAAACTTAATTTCTGTTTAATTACCATTATGTTTTATTACAAAAATGAATATGCAGTAATTTTATAATGAATATTTATTATTTACTGTATATTCATTTTTTGGTCAACCTGTATTCGCAATAAAATTTATTTGAATTTGAATTTTGAATTTGGTTGATTTAAAATAAAACCATAACACTGTATTATGATGACGTAAGTCAAAAATAAACAAATCATAAAATATGCTCTAGAATTAAAAAGTTTTTAATGGCTAGTACCACAGTCATCGAGAGAATCTTGGCAACTCTCTTTTGGAAATGCTCAATATTTGTCTCCTTCACTCACATCAATGTAAGTGAACACTTTATGAACTTGTATTAAAGATTGAGTCTTTGATTTTGTGTCTCAAAGAAGTGTTTCTTTAATGGAAAATCAAATAAGACTAAGAAATGAAAATGATGAGAAGAGTATAGACTGAAACTTTACATTTTGCATTATACAAAAAAAATTGTCTCGAGCAAAACAACGAAAGAGTGGTTGCAAAATATCAGCAATTACTAAGCTACCATGCGAGGGAAAGAGATAGATATAGGTTCCTACTTCAAGCAGATGTTGAAATTTTAGACATCGATTTGGTATGAGAGTGTAACAAAGTAAATTTATAAAATGAATTACGATTTAATTTTTAATCGATCCGCCATAGAAAATGCGACTTGAATTAATGTGTGACATGTAATAGTCATGTTTTTTTTTTCATTTGGCGTACTTTGCCTTGTTCAAGTAGTAATATTAATATGAAATATATAGTGTATAGTTAATAAATTAAATCCGTGTCTAAACTTAGAGCACAAAACATTTCAAATTTTTTTAATCATTTCTATTAATATACCGTAATAGGTACTTATTTAATACTACCCTTGTTGCTACTTATACTTCTTCTTTTTCATTCAAACTAATTTTATCTAATGTTACTTTTAATCTCTGAGATAATAGTATTAAATGACATAAACAAATAATTTAATCCGAGATTATTTTGCATTTCTATTTTCGTTTTACTATGTAGATGTAATTACCATACATTGAAAACAAAAGGGTCGTCACAGAAAATGTTTCTATTCCTCTAAAGTGCACTAAATCTTATCAAAAGTTATTTAATGCCGAGTGCCGAGGTGTGATTCCATTAAACTCAGATGAAACTTAGAGCGTTTACACATTATCCGGTCCGATGTCGGTATCGAATAATGTCGGAGACACCATCGGACGCCCGTGAGCTGTCGGACGATAAAGTTTGTATCTGTGTATCTGTCACCGGAATATAATATACTAGCAAACAAGTGAACCAAATGATCACCAAAAAAAAAAAAAGTATTTAATTAATTGAGAACTTCGGAGATTTTGTGTGGTTTCGTTTGAAATAGAAATCACGTGATTTCTCGAAAACCGGAAGTGCTACGTTACTCAAATCCGGTTTGTAGTCTTATCAGACTATTCTTAACTTATAACTTAAACATTCTCTTTATCTATCTCTTACGGTTTGGCCGCTGAAACAGCACCACGGACGGACGGACTTGTCTAATAGATAAGAGACTAGCAAACCAGTGAACCAAATGTTCACCAAAAAAAAAAAAGTATTTAATTAATTGAGAACTACGGAGATTTTGTGTGGTTTCGTTTGAAATAGAAATCACGTGATTTCTCGAAAACCGGAAGTGCTACGTTACTCACATCCGGTTTGTAGTCTTATCAGACTATTCTTAACTTATAACTTAAACATTCTCTATATCTATCTCTTACGGTTTGGCCGCTGAAACAGCACCACGGACGGACGGACGGACTTGTCTAATAGATAAGAGATTCAGTAGGTTTATCAATGTTCTAGTAAATTTATCAACTTTCGTAAGAATATAAATAAGTGATAAAATGTATTATTTTACGGGGACATTTTTGTAATATAATCAATTTACGACGTCTCGTGGTAAATTGATAAACTAACTTAAATTTTAAGCCTATCAGAGTAAAATTCTATAATCTAATGACCAATCCCAGAATAGAGTTTAATTTTGCGTCATTTTAATTTACGTAAAATGGTACACAGCTTTCTGATTGGTCGCCGTTAGCGACTTCGGTGCTTGCCGCCATAGACTTAGGTACTTATTTTATTTTTACAGTTTTTGGGAAACTTACAGCTAGTTTCTCTTACTTGCTATTCTGCATAATATTTATATTTAAGGCCAATTAATAGTTTCCGCGGATAGTTAAAGTAATAATTAAAAAAGTCGGCATGAAGCGCACATGATGCTTAAATGCATTATTAAGTGAGTATGTATATTATATATACTTATAAGCAATTAAAAAAACAGAAAGATAAAAAATACATAGTTTAAGAACTGGGCTCAAAGAAAAGATTATTGATTTTTTTTTAAATGAATTCAAGCTATCACAGAACAAATCAACGATACGATCAGACTTATCAAACAAATAATTAAACTTACATGATGTAGTAAAAAGTACTAGTGTCTTATCTTGTCTGGCTTATTTGATTCGAATAGGAGAGATTTTATGTGCAGGAATGTGGTACACCTTACATTCAGATATCCTAAATACATTGTTTAAGTTAAGCATAATATTCTCACTCACAAAATTATGCAAATATTTTCATACACACGATGACTGTATAAGTGCCTATAAGGCTAAACTGTACTTCCAGGGCCCAAGCGGTGATACTTCTCACTATAACCTAGTGAGTTAGTGTTGTAACCTTAACGCTCGGGCCGAGCGAGCAAAGCGAGCGCGGTAGCGGCCGGCGAAGCCCTAGAAAAAAAACACTGTTAAAAGAGACCTTCTAAAAATAAAAATCAAGTATCACCTCTTAGGCCTTGGAAGTACACTACCCTATAATACCTTCGTCACATTTTTTATTTTTGTTCGGTCCATTCAGACTTTTCACTGGTTTGGTCGTGTCCATTATAAAACTTTTGTACCTCTATGTAAATTTTTTGTTTATCAACTAACGTATTATTTTACGGCTAAGCTCGGTAAATTGATCAATTTACGATAATGTTCCCGTAAGGTCTCTCGTTTACATTCTTACGAAAGTTGAAAAATTTACAGGTAAATTGATAAACTTACGGAATGTATTATATTCGGATAACATATCTACATTCTGTCTGTCGACATAACCGATTTTATCGGAAATGTGTGAAGATTTAGATACCAAACCATAACGGCAATCGGCGTTCGATACCGATATCGAATCGGATAATGTGTGAAAGCTTATAGAAATTTACTGTTTTCTAATTGCTATGACAACTAAATACGTAACGTGTTATTGTCTCTCTCGAATTGCATGTAAATTGTGTCAACCATTTATTTAACGATAATTTTATGTGATTTTAATTATTATGTATGTAGTATGCTTTAGTGATTGATTAGTATAATCTTATTATAATTTGAAGCATAATGTGTATTAGTTTATTTTTTCGAGAAAGAGATTACGTTGTTCCGAAAGGTTGTTTCGTGTATATTTTCTATATAATTAGTAAATCCATATTCAGATAGCAATAATTAGAACTATATTGCAATTTTTAGTGTATTTACAAATGAATGTTATTGTTATTACCTATAAGAAGTCGTTGGCATGGCGAGAAAACGCACAAATTTATAAATTTTTGTTGTTTCGGCTTTGAAAGTAACTGATTACTGTGCTAATTTTTTTTATGAAATATTATTACTATTATCAATTTCCGATATTTAAACTTTAAATCCCACCAAACTGTATCTTGAACAAATAAGTACGGAACAAACTTATTTTTATTGAATGGTAATGGTGACTATAGTTTTACTTTTTATAGATAATTTTAAACGTGCCATCTTGGGTAACGTAATATAGATGATAATGTGATTTAGTCTATGAGAGATCTCTTATTGTGTAAATAATAATTTTACTATCTTAATAATAAGTGATGGTGCTATGTACGAGACAAAAACTTCAGGTCGACAGCGAGATATCATAGCAAGTAAGTAAATACATATTATGTATTATCTTTAATTATTTTATTGGCACTTGTTGTTATTAGTGTGATGTATTAGTTAAACCATTAGTTATATTAATCGAGAAAATCCAATAACTACGTGCCAATAATATTTAAATGTAAAATATGTGTTACCACGTTTTGGGTGTATCAATTATGATTCAGGCATTGAGCTAGTAAAATGACAGTGAATGTGTATCTTTGACCTGAAGTATTTTGTCATGTTGTTATGATGTCTATCATACAAATGAAAGGTAATGTGAATAATCCAAACATTTTATCAGTGTATTTTATCCACTTAAACATTGGTATATTATATATACCTAATCAAAAAAAATATGGGCTCAATAAAGCATTTCTATTCTGTTCCTATAAATAATCTACTATAGACTTGAAGTACGAAAAAAAATTTATGTTAAATTACGATTTTTGAAATAAAAAAAAAGTAATTTTATGATAATTCTATGTAAAACAATTTTAATTTTATTCTGTAATAGTATTTTATTTTGAGATGCTGTTGGTCAAATACAACGAAACTTATCAATGAAATGTGTCGATGTTTGACGATAGATTAATTAATGCATTGTGTCACAAAGTTATTCCATTATAGTAATTGAATTTTATATTTTTAGATTGTTTAAATAACTTTATTTTTATGAACAATCCTTTGAATATACAGATTTTTTGCACGTGTTGATTTTATTTTTTGTCTTATTGGATACGATCACCATAGGTGGTGACGGGCCGTTCAAGTATTACGTAAGCAGATTTATTACAATTATTTACGTAAACATTGGTTCCCCAATTTTTTTTAATTCATCCCCGCTAGGGTGAGCGTTCTAAAGACGAACCGGTTTCAAGGACCGTTTTGTGTTCCGCGACGATAGAACCGTTTTACGTTTCGGATCAAAACAGTCTTTGTCGAACAACTAGTCCTCAGATTGTCTACACGCCAATATGTACTTTATGATGAAGTAAATACAGTCTATAATAGAACGCAATGATATGAGGCCGTTTCGTTCTATGATAATTCAGCTTTGATTTTACAATAATATAATCTTTATTATTGAACTTTTAAAGTCGATTATCGTATAACACTACATTTATTTCGATGTTTCGACGTCTCGTTCGCAGCAACAAAACGAACGTTTAAACAAGATTTCATTTAGTTCAGTTTCGTTTCATCACATTCGTTCGACCGTCGCGTGTCGTTTCGTGGCGTGACCCAGCCGCAACCATAACCAGTTGCGAACGAGAACCGTTTCAAGGACTAGTTTTAGTTTAAGACAAATCGGTTACATTTCGTCGTCAGAAATTTTGAAAACGACCCACCGCTAATCCCCGCATCCCCGATAATGCGTTTTTTTTAAGTAAAGACAATGTGTGGGTTGCCATTTGTGTAAAAAAATAAATAACTGTTGCTGACGTAATCACCATCTAGACCCACCCACCCCCATTTCAT